CTTTTCACTATGTTGAAGCATTGGGTAACTAGCTGTTTCTCAGTTAGTGTGAATGTATGTCTTCTGTTCATCCCTAGTTCCCTCATACATTTCATATATCCCCTTTCATTAGGTCTACTGTTGTAGTAGCATTCCATCAATTCCAGGTTCTCTTTCTTGTCTTGTCCATGTATGGTTTGTTCCAGTAGCCCACTTATTGTCAGATTATTGTGGTTTCCCAACATCTGGCATGGATCTTGTTAATCTGGGTGACATCCAAGCTGGCATGACTCTCTTAGTTTGTGTCACTCTCAATTCCGAGGTAGGCAGATGAAGCATTAAGGGGTCTTTGATCAGAAACCCTACTGGTAAGATAGGTACCAGCTAGGATTCAAATCCTGGTCTTCCACATCAAAGGGCGGCATTCTAACCACTATGTTATCCAACCACTATTTATTTATTATATATACTTACCCACTTATGGCTAGCCTGATCATTCATTGCTGGTGTTCTTTGAATAGACTCTAGAAAGAACCGTGCTTTACTGCTTCTTCTCTAGCCATTGACTGGCCAGTTTTGTCATCCCTTTGATTCTTGGAAAGAAGTGTCTTACATAAATGCATCTAGCATCTCTGGACAGCAACTGCACATCATATGCTAATGGCAGTTTTGGGAAAAGAGGAGAATAATATGTAGAATATACTGGCTACAGTACTGATATATTTAAGCCCATTGAATTCATTAATTTGTACATTGTGTTCTGTTCGATTTTATGAAGCATGAATGCTAAGATTGCTGTTTCTGCTTTTAATTGATCTGTTCCATTGTCTCTCCATGTAAATATTTTCTCTTTACTTTTGCAAGAATAATAAAATGCTTCTGCTTTTTTCAGGAATCTGTGTCTACACGTGAGGAAATGATGAATCAACAACAACAACAACTTTCTTCTGAACAACAAGAACAGGAAGAGCTTGATTTTTTGTTTGATGAAGAGATGGAACAAATAGAAGGCAGGAAAAATACATTCACAGAGTGGTCAGAAAGTGATTCAGATTATGAAATTGATGATCAAGATTTAAATAAAATTTTGATTGTGACACAGACCCCACCGTATATGAGAAAACATCCTGGAGGAGATCGAACTGGCAACCATGTGTCACGTGCAAAAATTACATCAGAACTTGCCAAAGTTATTAATGATGGATTATACTATTATGAACAGGATTTGTGGATGGAGCAAGGTGAAAATGATTGTATTGCTATGAAGGTAATTACAAGTTTGAGCTATGAACATAATGTAATTTAATTAATATGATTGTTGCCATAACTCTTTAGCATAGACCTGGATGAAAATAAATGTGAAGAATCTGTAGCAGACAAATTCTATCCACAGTTGAAGTCTGGGAAGGAGGCTGTTTCAAAATCAAAGTAATGAAAGTTCAGTCATATGATTGTCTCTTGAAACTGAGGGGAGGATTAAAGCACACCTTTGAATTTTTTTTCTTTCAAATAGTCATATAAATTATGTGTTCATTATATACTAGTTCATTGACAGTAATATATTTTGGTTATTCAAATATGTATTTTGTTCAGAGCTAGGATAAGCAGGTATGGGAGAAATGAGAACTTTGTAACATTGCTTTTTCTTGGATAATTAGGAAGGTCAGGCCTTTGCCTAAGCTGTACTCTTAATCCTCCAGTTTGAGTAGCTTGCTTGATGAGAAGGATGATTTTATATTCAGGGCATAGGATATAAATTTGGAAAAGCTGATTTAAGTTTTCATTATGAGTACCATAATGCTCTCTGTTGCCAGGTACAATAATTATTTCATATTTTAAATTTATTTAAATTTAAATTTATTCTGTAGAAAATACTTTAAATAATATTATCAATATTAAAATATTGTTTATGCTCCATTTTTCCTCTGGGCTGTTATTCTTATTACAGTAATTTTTACCCATTTCAGCAAGAAGTTGAAAATTTTAAGAAGTTACATCTCATCAGCAAAGAAGAATTTGACAATCTTACTCCTGAACATGTAATGGATTCAAATCAGGATGATCCTCCTGGTCCTTCAAAATCACAAGGTATATATCTCTGATGTTACCAAAAAAAAATTACACTATCAAGTGTATACACCATATGATAAAACCTGGCTGAAATTTTCATCTTTTCTCCAGTATTCACATGGTGTTCCAGATGCTAATCAGTTTTTATTCAATTACAAGACCTTTCTGTATATATGTATTTAGAATATATACATGGAATGGATCTTGATTGAGTATCCCATATAACAATTGGCTTTGTTTTGGTTTTCTTTTTTTTTTTTTTTTTTGGTTTTCTTTACTTTGAAGTGTTAAAACGCATTAGAATTTTCCAGAAGCCTGTTGCTACTGGGCAAAACAATGTTTCATTATGAGACAGTGTAGGAGGAAAGCCGTGTTAGTCTATGGTGGCAAAAAATCAGGAGTTGAACAGTACCTTTTCCAGCTACAAATTTTATGAAAAGGCATAAGCTTTCATGAGCTGCATCTCAGTTCATCAGATAAATAGAATATTTCATGGTAGTACATAATTAGAGGACATGAATGTGAAGTAATGTGTGTATGTGTTTTATAATCTCCTTTGTCTACTTTATTTTGTTCTTTTTAAATTTAAACCCATTGTTTCCATCTACAATGTCTGGCAATTTATATTAATACACACATGAAAAAAAAAAGCTAGAATACATAAAGGAAGACAGGAGTATGCAAAATTAGAGAAGAATAGATAAAAATAGATCCAGTGAAATAGAACAGTGCTAATGTGACCCGAGTAAGATAAAAGTTAAGTACTTACTGTACAACTATTAATCATATGGTCTTGCTAATTAGATGTAACTGAAGAGCTGGCTTGTCAGTTGTTTGGTGTCCCAGAAATACCTCCAACAACAATGGCTCGCTCACTGCCTACAGCTGTTCCTGAATCTCCTGGAGTTCACCCTACCAGAACACCTAAAACACCTCGTACCCCAAGACTGCAAGATCCTAACAAAATACCAAGATTCTATCCTGTCGTTAAAGAAGCAAGAACTATTGATGTTGGGGTAACTAAAACCAAAATATATTTCTGGGTCATAATAAATTATTGCTCTTATTGCCAGAGAACACAGCTTTTGAAACACAAGCTTCATTCCTTGCTAGGTCAAAGCTGCTAAATCTCTTTTGAAATGCATTGTCAGCTTCTTGTTAAGGCTAGTAGTTGAGTAGTCAGCCATAACCAACTTTATGACCTCATAATGCATATGATGTGTAATGTGAAATTTTATGAAACTGGACTTTAATTAGACTGTGATTCTTCAGAAAAGTGGCTCCAGTCACATCAGGAAAATATAATGGTATATTTTATTTTAGACACGAAGGAAAAGAAAAACACGGCATAGTACCAACCCTCCTTTAGAAAGTCATGTTGGCTGGGTAATGGATTCCAAGGATCACAGACCAAGAACATCTTCTATAAGGTAGAAATAATTTTTAATGTACTAATAGTCTTTACTTTTGTGTGTTCTTTTAATCAGTGGGGAAGTTACATTTAATTACTTGGTCTTACAAAATAAGAAAAAGTGGAAGATGGGCTAGAGACTTTCCTAAAAGCCATGTATACTCATAAATATACTCAAGAATTCATCCTTGGATATTGCTGGAAATAAGTTTGGGTGTTATTTTCCAAGTTGAATCTGCAGCAGTTGTAAAACTAGCAGAAATGAAACTTAATATTTGTTTGTATCCTTTCCACCCTTCATTTGAAGTGTCCTTAGAAGAGTGGATGTTTGTACTGTTAGGTGTACAAACAGGATAAGATTTCTTTGTTTGTTTTTTACAATATATCTTTTTTATTTCTAAAATGCTTATCATGGCAGCAGAGGGTTGATTATTGCATTGATCACATATGGTCCCATGGGCATTCCACAAGACACTGTAAAAAAGAAAGC